GACAATTTAACACGATTAGAAAAAAGAGTAATGAATTTAGCACGTTAATAAACAAGAAAATTGAATTTAACACGTTAACGAATAACAAAAATTACTTTAACACTGATCAACAACTACTGGTGATTTGACACTTGATGTAATAAACTAAAACATTAGTAAACTTACCTACTTTTTTTCAATGGCAAACATTATTATACCTAACTTTAACAATCCTCTAAAAAAATTGGTCTATATCGAATAATAAAAAGCGGATTATCTTAAAAACGAGATGAAATTCCCCATATTTCTCAAGAATAAATAATAAAATGGAAAAAGTAAAACCTTTTTTTGAGAAATAACAAAATACTTAATTTATTTCAATAAATAGACATGTTTCGAAACAAATGTTTCTTCTTCAGTACTTAAAAATAATTACAAAATAATGGAAAAATCTTTTTAAAAAATGTTCGGAATAGATCTTAATTTTTCTTGAAAACAAAATATTTCTAAAAAATTCTTTACAAAATTAAATTAAATCCTTAAATTTCTTGGAAATTAACTTATCTGAATCAGATAAGTACTCGGTCGACTTTCGGATAAGTTAATTTCCAAGAAATTTAAGGATTTAATTTAATTTTGTAAAGAATTTTTTAGAAATATTTTGTTTTTAAGAAAAATTAAGATCTATTCCCAACATTTTTTAAAAAGATTTATCCATTATTTTGTAATTATTTTTAAGTACTGAAGAAGAAACATTTGTTTCGAAACATGTCTATTTATTGAAATAAATTAAGTATTTTGTTATTTTTCAAATAAAGTTTTTACTTTTTCCATTTTATTATCTTAAAAACAATCAACTTTAGCGCGTTTTGATAAGAGTACCGTTTTTGCTTAAAAAGTACCGAGAATAAGAATTTTTATTCAAAAAGCCAAAAAGTATACTGTCAGAAAAGTTATTGTTATTTTAATCCGTAAAGAATAGGTTACAGAGTGCCCTCTACCGGCTGTAGTAAAATAGACTTCATAATCGTCTTTCTCATGCCAAAAAACCTCCGTATACCAAATTTTAATAGAATCGATTGCTATATACACGTAATATTAAATAAAAATCAATTAAAAAATGTATCTTAGTATCTTCAAAACAAAGTGTTTGTCGACCTAAGTTTATATGAAGTTTTTGTGCTAATTTTAAAAGATCTATCGACTGTTAAAGTCCTGCTACAAAAACCTGAAACACCCTGTATAATTATTAAATAATTAAAATAAAAATTTTGAAACATTTTGATTCGGAAATTAATTAAAATTGTACCAAATGAATAAAAGTCTAATAATTATTCATGAAAAAAATGTTATCGTATATATCTTATACATCGATTAAAACGATAATATAGAGGACGTTTGGTGTAAAAGTTGATTATACCTTGTTATTTATTCATCAATAATATAATATACGTATAACTTAATAACAATTAATACAATACCAATTCGTGAATAAATCTCCACAGTGTGGAGATTTGTGGGTTGTTACAAATGTGTTTATAGCGAAAGCGGAACATTAAAAATTGTAATTGCAAAAGCGAATGCGAAATGTTTTTAGAATCAGAATAAATACAAAGGATAAATTTAACTCAATATAGTATTTCATTAAATGTTTTGTAGGTAACTTTACTACTTAACAAATTAATAATCAAACTTAAACAAAAAAGATTGTATTTAAAAAAAAGTAGTTTTACTGCCTATATACTAAACCAGCACCGCTAAATAGCTCTTCACTAAATTGATGAACTATAGGATTGAGCAATACTTTAATCTATTGTTGTACCACCATAACAAGCGATTTTCTGAAAGCTGTAGTTTTTTCTGCTTATTATTATCGACTAAAAGAAACTTCAAGTTTGTAGCATTGGGACGTATCATTCATAATCATCTCCATTTCCAATACATTTTTCAAAACATTCTTAATATGGGAATGATCTGATTTTGAAGTAGCAGTTGATTTATCGTCATTTTCAATTTTTTCGGAGGCGGTTCATTTTCATTACTACATTCTGATGAACGTAAATCATAATAATTAGCTAAAATGGAAATAATTTCGGATTCGATTTGTTGCTGAACTATTTCATTAAAAAATTTATGTTTGTAACGAGGATCTAAATAAGTAGCAACTGAGAATAAGATATTATTTTCTATATGCGAAAACTTTAGATTTAAGGTAAAAGCACCAGTAGTTGACACTGCACTAGTAGTTGACACTTAAGAAGAAAAAATAAATTAACAAGAGAAACACAGGCGGCAAAAGACCGAAATATGTTCGTCTATGTAGCATAGTTCTCTAGCGACGTAAATACATACTATCGTGCCATTAATTACAGCGTCAGTGACACAGTGATCGTCTGATTACAACGAGTGCATGGTTTTCATTCGGTTATTGTAATATGCTTGTGAAGTTTGCTAAGAATAAGCTGAAAGATAAGGATTGCAAATGTTAACATTATTTTATAATTTTGATTAAAAATACATTCAGTTGTTCGTTTTGGACTCTAAAATATGTATTCATGTTTTGAAAATACCCTAAAATAAAAAATGGCTTTATTAGGCATCGTGTCAACTATTAAAACTTTATATGACATAATATTGAGTAGTTGACATGGAGGTGTCAACTTGTGGGTAATAATATAATTTTATAATACTGCTTTATTTGGGTGTTATTTAGCTGTTTACAGAGCGAAACCTTCTATTATAACTTCTTGACAGGGGGTGTCAACTATTAGAGTTACAATGTAACTCTAATAGTTTACCCAACCCAACCCAACCCAACCCAGACGCTATCACTCTCCCGTTTAACACCAAAGGCGATAATTCAGACACAAAAGGCGAAGAAGGCAGACGAGTTTTAAAAGAAGGGCTTCGGTTTCTCAATCAGAGTATTCCTGAAAGCAAGCTCAATAACTAGAAAGTAGTTTCGTAGATGCACCTGGTCCTACCGATAAAACCATTTTTTATTTTAAAGCATGTCAACTACTGAAAATAAAGAGTGTCAACTACTAGATATTCTCGTTTTCTCTTGGTATCAACTACTGGCCCAGTGTCTTTTATATATACTTATATATATATAAAAAATTCATAGTGATTTTATTAATCTAATTCTTGTCACATTATAATAGAGGAATAGTTTGTGCAGGTATCACTAATTAGAAGTTTTCCCTAAAGTGAATTCAGTCCAAGCACTGTCCAGATTAATAAATCCTTAAAGTGTCAACTACTGGTGCTTTTACCTTACTTCTGAAATTTACTTTCTGACGATTTCCTTATTTTGAGTAACCTCGTGTTTTTGTTCTTCCTCTTGCAGTGATGATTTAAGTACATGTATTAGAGGGATGACGGATGACATTACTTTACTTAATTTCCCAGTTTCAGAAGATAGCAATACTATTGTTAGTATTTAAATATAGAGCTATAGAATCTTTTATTTTCCAGAAACGTTCCACCATATAGTACGTACTGTTCTATCTGACAAGAATAGATTACTCACTTACACGGCTTTTTATGGATGGACTAATCCGCCCAAATATCCAAGATGAAGAAATTTCTTTCTTAAAGGAAGTCAAATATCTAGGAGTAATCCTAGACAAAATCCTCACATGGAATGGACATTTGCAGAAAGTTTTACACAAAGCTAGACTGTCCTTGTGTAGAAAAAAATTGGGTCTTACCCCTGATAGACTGTACTGGCCCTATGTGAATCACATACTGAGCAGCAGCCTGGTATAAGAAAGTCCAACAGACTTCCAACAGACTTCAGTTATCAGTAAACTTTCACGAATTCAACTAGTAGCTGGATTGGCAATCTCTGGTGTGAAAAGCACAACGCCAACTCTAGCAATGGATGTTCTGCTTGGCCTATCTCCTTTGCATTTGCAAACAGAGAAAGTGGCTAGAACTAGCATTTACAGATTTAAGCAATATGCCCAAAATTGTTTCGACATATCTTACCACTGGGCTGCGGAAGACATTAGAAACACTGATATTGTGCTATCAATGTCGTCAGATTTGACAGGATCACTATCAGTGATTAATGCTCGATACCAAATTGTACTGCCTGAACGGCAGTCCTGGATCCAAAATGAAAATTCTCTGGTTGAGGCAGATATTTGCATATTCACAGATGGATCAAAAACACCAGAAGGGTGTATACTGCCAAATACAAAGGATTAAACAAGCTTACAGCCAGAGTATGTACTGTACTGTATTCCAGGCGGAAGTATTTGCTATTGACATGAGTGTTAAAATTCTTCTTGAGAGAGGGGTGAAGAACATGACAGTACGATTTGCTCAGACAGTCAAGCCGCTCTCCAGGCGCTGCAGGCCGTGAAAACGGTGTCGAGTCTGGTTAATGGCTGTAAAAGAATTTTAAAGACACTCTGTTGTAATAACAAAGTTTCTCTGATCTGGGTCCCAGGTCACTCTGGGGTTGCTGGCAATGAAGCGGCAGTGTCGTCGATTCACATTTTAAAACCACTTTAACTTTTTTTAAATCTTCATTCCATGATCTGTTAGGCTTAGAAGTGAAACGCCTGAGCTGGAATCAGACCAAATATCTGTCTGTAGTGAATGCTAATTTTCCAAATTCGTTAAGCGATTTTTTCACGTTATGCACTATTTTACCATATAATTCATCACTCACAAAGTCTGTAATTGGTGACCTCTTAATTTATATTTGGGCGACGTAGCATTTTCGATAGCGTTATTTGATTTTTATCTTTATTATTTTATTCCCGCCGTATTTCCCATTTAATTTTAAAATACGAATTTTAAAATCAAACACAACTTTAAAAAGGTGTCCCCAATCACCGCGTTTTTAGAACGATGAACAGGTCTTTGTATCCTTAGCTTTTAGTTGCTACATCAAACGGAATGAAAAAGAATCACTTAATTTTCATCAAATTTTTAAACATTATATATCTTCTTAAATCATTAATTATTAAAATAAACAAAATTAATAATATAATTTTTTAATAATATTGAATAATAAATATAATGACATTTGTATAAACCTGAATTAAATAAACTTTTATTTTAATCTTGATAATATTTCGCTAACTCAGGTAAACACGCATCGCGATCATCTCTTACATTTCGATAAAGAAAATCGGAAATAAAGGTAATATTTACACAAAATATCCCTTGTTTTGCAAGGGGAATAAAAGAAGAAAAATCGTGTACTATTTTCGGATCAATTAAACAATGAGTTGCGTAGATATTATCTTCAAACGGTGGTCTAAAATAAAAAGATTTAATTTCAAATTTAATAACGCAATAAAAAATAATTACGTAGCATTTACAACCATCCCACCACCAGCCTCGATTATCCTCACAATAGCATCTCGTTTGGCAGTAAAAATTATTGCTCTCATGTCGTGGAAAGCTCCATATCCCCTTTTAGCTACTTCAACTCTCCAATAATGTACAGGTTCCATCCAAAGCTTTTTATCTTTATCAAATTGTACTGTTATATCCTTATTCGCCGATGGATTTCCATATTCGAATGCTTCACAATTTAAAAATCGATTTTCTTTCGTGCACGCTTCAATATAGGATGGATGAAGAATCCATTTCCCAGCTGCCATACACGATAACATTTTTTCTGTACGTTGTAGTTTCGGTGCTAAAAGATGCGTTCCATCGGGATCGTAAAATGATAAAGTTGACACTTTTCCTCCTAATTCTTCGATTTGTTTTATTAGGATATTTCTTAAATCATTTTCGATTGTTGATAGTATAAAAACTGGCGTGGGCTAAAATTATTAATGCATTTGTGTTAAGAATGGTTGGAATGTCAAATAACCAAGTTACATATAAAGGGGTACACACCGATTGGAGGAATGCAGTACTAAGAATACACTAAGATGCATTTTTTGTAATATGGAACATATGAGCAATGAAAGAGGCACTCCCGCAAGAAATAGAAGCTGTCAGGAATACTTGAGGCAGAAAAAGATAAAAGTAATTATGACAAGATATAACTGCTCTGATTTTGGGGCATCTCAGATGATAGGTTTCCAGAATTGCCAAACAATAAGAATACTCAATTCTCACAATCGTCCAGTTATACATAATTGACCCAGCCTCAAGATACCAGAAGATCTTACAAGAAAACATTATCTGTCCCAAAAAACAGAGTATCCCGGAAAAAAAACGTAAACACGAAATCCCTGCCGAACTGTTGTATGACTTTAACACTGACAAAAACTGTCCTGGTAATTCACAGACAAAGAGCTTCCTTTCAAATTCTACAATTGAACTAACCCAAAACTTTTACACCAATCAAAGCTGGAGTTCACAAATGGAGTGTGAATTGATATCTAGAGATCGAGACATGAACTCTGTAAAACTAATAAAACCTAATATGCCTACTCATCAAATAATCGATTTACAAGCCTTAACAATGATGACAACATTTTGAAATTAATGACCTGGAACGCTAGAAGTTTAGTAAAGCCTTTATGGTTACCTAAAAGATAACCCACAGGATGTTATAATTTGCGAAACTTGGTTGAATAAATGTATAACCACATATAACAATGTGTAATAAAACAAGATCAGACGGATATGGAGGACTTTCAGTCCTCATCAAGAAATCTTTAAAATTCGAAAATATTGATATACAAGATCCGTTACCAAATATTCACTTTATTATCATAAAAATGTTTGATATATCAATAATCGTAGGCTACATTCCACCAAACATAAACTTTTCTATAGATGAGTGGAGAGAAACTCTCCGAGATGTGGATGATCCATTTATCCTCACAGGAGACTTCAACTCACTCAATGAAAAATGGGGATGTAGTTATAATAACAATAGAGATTAAATCAATAGCTAGAGAAAGAAACTTGACGGTCATGAATGATGAAAGAGCTATACTTCTTTCATATAATGAACACACAAAAAGTGTTATCGACATAACTATGATACCAGAAACTTGGGTGGGAAGAAGTGTGTGCTACTTTAAAAATTTCTGTTTATCAGTGAATCGTCTGACACCATTAAATCAGATTTGGTAGAAAGTAAGGATATATAACCGAGTAGTTTTTGTCTACAATAGACAGACAATTTCGAGTGGAATTTGTGAATACGATAGCACCCTCCCACACTCCATCACTAGAAGAAATTCAATTACAGAATACCGAAATCATAAATACAGACTCATCCGGATGTACCGAACTACAATCATCTATCAGTAGAACTAACACTAGACCTAGAACTAGCAACTTTCGGGTAAAGTCGTGCGTCTTTTGAAAAAATTTTTGACGTTTCGGATGCCATGTTAAATTCTCCCAGCTATGAGCTAGCAGAACACCTTATCCAAATTCTGTCTCTTTTTACAGGTAAAACAGAGTCATATTTCAGAGATTCCACACATTTTGTAGAATCAATCAGGAATATGAAGCTAGACCCTCAGGATATCCTGGTAAGTTTCCACGTGGAATCTCTATTCACCACACTACCAGTCAAAGATGCTGTGGTACTCATCCCGGAGCGTTTGTTAAACTATGTCCCAGGACTAGTAGAGTACTGCCTATCATCGACATATTTTAGCTGGAAGGAAGAGTTTTACGAGCAATGCGAAGGGGCAGCCATGGGATCACTGCTGTCACTTGTGATCGCCAAGGTTTACATGGAGGTGTTTGAAGAGGAAGCGTTAGAGAAGACTCCGTGGAAACCGAAGTTATGGCTCAGTTACGTCAATGACACTTTCGTGATCTGACAACATGGCAATTCAATTTCATTTAAAGAGCAACTCCAGGAATTTCTAGTCCACTTCAATTCACAGCACAACAGTTGCCATTCCTGGATGGGGACATGGAAGTAGGAGTATATCGAAAGAAGACGTATACGAATAGGTACCTGCAGGCTTCACCCCACCACCACCCACAAAAGGAGAGGTCCGTGCTTTAAGCATTATTTCAGTGAGCAGAGAGAATATGTGATCAAGAGAACCTGAGGAAAGAAGAATGATTCCTAGAAGATGTACTGCAGAAGAACGGATATACGATGAGGGATATCCAACAAGCCACCAAACCACGGAAACAGAAGGATAACTCAGTAAGTATGACACCAGCCGGTTTTATCTGCCTTCTTTATGTTTCAAGTGTGACGGAGCGAATTACGAGGTGTCTGCAGAACACCTCGCATTAAAGGGACCGGTAGTCTATCGGCTATCGTGCAGTTGCGCGAAATATTACGTTAGCCAAATTGGACGTAACATCAAATACCGCATGAAGGAACACGAAAGGGCTGTCCGACTGAGAAAAGTCCAATAGTCTGAAGTCGCAGAGCATTGTCACGGAGGAGGACACACCTTAGAGTTTGACAAAACAAAAGTGCTAGCGTGAAACGGACATTACTTCCAAAGATTGACGAGAGAGGCGATAGAGATTCATCGATATGGGAATAACATGAATAGAGAAATCTTCTCCACCCGGAATTGACAAAAACAACTTAGTTGACAGTTAGACACTAATTAGTTATTAATTATCTTTTCATGTATTTTTTGTCAAATTTTAACCGATTTTGTCACTTCGAACGTGTTTCTGAAGAAGGTTGCAACATGGCATCTGAAACTTCAAACATTTTTTCAAAAGACGCACGGCTTAACCATGAAAGAATTTGAAAACTCATTTTTATAGAAAGGATACAGCATCTGGCGCCGATGATATACAGGTGTCTCAAATGTGTGGAATATAGCCAATAACTTCACCATTTGTGGTTTTAAAGAAAAATGTTTCAAATACAAGTTTCTTTGTTAATCGTGGCGCATTTTTTGGCAATATTTGCTTGTTCGTATTGTTTTTGTTTCGTTGCTATGGCAACCAACATTGTTGTCAAATGACAGTTTCAACAATTATGTATAATTAATAATGTATGGGCATGGTGACACACATTTAATCTAATTTCGTCATTGGTAGCTGTCTTCGGCCGTCCACTTTTTGGAAGCTTTTTAACAGTTCCGGTGTGAAAGAATTTTTTTAATATTTTGAATATCGTGGATTGAGTAATTTGTGTATCCGGGTAAATATTATTGAACAGTGTACAAACTTCACTTTGAGTGCGTTTTCTATCACCCTACCCATACATCATTAATATTTGGATTCTTTGTCGTTCGCTTGATTGCACCATATTTGTTTAAACAGTCAATTTTATGACGTTTAAAGCTGTCAACGGCGTTATTGCGGCGCCTACTTTCATTGTAATTTGTTAATTTAATATTTTTAGAAAATGCATTATTTTTCGATTGACAATGTAAACAACAATGTAAACAAACAAATATCGCCAATAAATGCACAATTAATTAAAAAAATTTTATTTGAAACATTTTTCCTTAAAATCACAAATGGCTAAATTATTGGCTATATTCCAGACATTTGACACACCTGTATACCAGAAGTACTGGTAATATACCAGAAGAATGGAAAATGGTGTTGATTGTTCCAATCCTTAAACCCCATAAAAACCCAAACGATTCTAATAGCTATCGCCATATATCAGTGGTTCCATAACGTCGATCGCGAAGCCATTTGGAGTCGATCGCCAACAAAATCATGAATCTGAAATATCTATAATGTAGATATTTATGCTATAAAATTCTCAATATGCAAGAAATCATGACCATAGCTTTTAAAATCAGTAATTCTATCCGTAAAAGAAAGCAGTCACGAAGGATGTACTGAACTTGTGATGCATACTGACGTCAGGTGGTTAAGTAAAGACAAGTTCTTACACTGTTTTCGCGATTTAATTGACGAAATTTAACTTTTATTATAAGAGGCGACGATTACAGGATGTTGGAAGATGACATTTAGCTTTAAGATTTGTCTTTTCTGACAGATATTACAAGTAAGCTGAATGATTTGAATTTAGAACTTCAAGGACAGAATAAAACCATTTTTGACATGATGAGTTCTGTAAATGTCTTTAAACAAAAACTAAACATAATGTTATCTAGAACGAATGATAATAATTTCACTTCTTTTCCCAATATAACGTCTCATTTAAAAAATGTTGCTGCTACCAATATCGATTTAAATAGGTATAAAAATGAAATTAAAAACCTAATTGCATATTTTGACAATCATTTTCAAGAATTTAAATAAATTGATGTTGTGGCACTTTTTATCACTTATCCGTTTAATAAAAATATAAATATAGAAAAAGTTGCAGAGAAACTGTCAGACTTGTTCGAAAAGGATGTACATAAGTTAGAATGTCACTACAAAATCATAACACTGCAAAACGATATCTATGTTAAAGCAAGGGCATCTGAAGAAAATTTGTTGAAATATTCATCGGAAGACAAGTATACAAATTTTCGCAAATGTGTTGAGAATTTGTACTTATGTTGTGGTTAAACATATTTATGTGAAACTGCATTTTCATAAATAAAAATAATAAAATCTAAATACCGAACGGCATTGACAGATACTCATTTAGAATCTTGTTTGAAAAATACCCTAAGTATTTATATTCCCAACTTTAAAAAGATTGTTGATTCACAGCAGTGTCGAATAAGTCAAACATGTACCAATGCACCTGGGAGAACAATTTAATATCTGTATTAAAACTTAAAATATTAATGAGTTAAACGAAATGATTTTTTATTTCATATTGTCTTCATTGAAAAGATGTGATATTATTATAAGCAGGTAGGTAAATATGATAGGATGAGCCAGTAAGCAAGGTCGATCTTGGTAAGACATTTATATAAAAGTCGATCTTTGTCAAAAATTAGTGGACACCACTGCCATATATCCTTGCTATCATGCATGCGTTAGGAAAATCTTCGAGCGCATGGTGGCGGACAGACTTGAATGGTGGTGTGAAAAGAAGGGAGTAGTTAATAGACTGCAGTTCAGTTTTAGAAGAGGAAAGGGAGTGCATCATGTCGTAATATCATTGGTGACGACATAAGAATGGCTTTTGTAGAAAGGAAATCATTGCTAGCGATTTTTATTGACATCAAATCCAACAATATCCACATCCCCACTTCAATTCAGATAATGCAGAAGACCGGTATCCCCTATCTCCTCTCTAAGACAATTCACCAACTATTCGCAGAAAAAAAATCTCTTGGTACAAAACGATGCCTTTTGTGTCGCGCCATTTCTCTACGCTTACTGTCAGGCTCAGACTGCGACACGCGCTAACCCCATCATACCTCCATAAAATTAAGGAAAAAAATCCAAACTGTGAATGCGGAAATGAGGGAGACTTAAATCATATTTGGGTTTAGCCATACATCTCTTAAGACAGCTTAAGACTTTAGTGTTAGTTCTAACGCTACTGTTAGCTATAGTTTTAGTTATTATTTAGCATTAAATAAATAATAATTATAAATAAACCATTACAATCTGTTCTTGCTGTTTTTTTTCCTTTTGCGAATACTCCTCCCAACCAACAATACCCGCTTGAGAAATTTTAATTTCCGTAACCGATTCACTACAAGATTCTTGATTAAAATTCGACTTTCTTCGGATTAAACTATTTTGGTTAGTTGACATCGATATTTTTCTTTGCAATTTATCTAAATTACTATTTATTAAAGCTTTCCGCGGGGTATCCTAAAAAAGAATTATTAAATCTCAAAAAGAAAGAAAAAATAATAAACTCACATTGGAGTCTTCCTCAGTTTCATTTTTATTTAAAACACTACTAAAATTAATTTCATCGGTGGTTTCTTCTGGGGATGATTCAAAATTAGGTTGGCGGATTTTTTTGGGAGTTTCATCACCTTCGTGTAAAATTTTCTTCCATAATCTTCGTTTTAGTTCAGAAAAAGGCTAAAATGTAATTCGTTATAAAGAATTAAATTTATTGTAAGTATACGTACGGTACTTAAAGGTTTTGGTTTAGCGTATGGAAGTGAATTGATCCATTGCAAACATTGTTTACGTAGTCTTGGAGATGGATTTGATTTTAAAAAATTTCCATATGGTGTTTCAGGGGTGTCAACTTCATTGTATAATTTAGGCAGTGCGGGAGTTGATGGGGACAAATTTATTTTAAGATTTCCCTCAAATCGTTTAACGATGTCTTTAAGAGGAGTAATATCACTCCAAGCTTGTGGCGAATCTTCACGAATCTTATTAATTACATCTTTTTTAATTAAATTTTTTTGTATATTAGTATCGACATTCTCTTTTAATTTATTAGATGATTTTAATTCTAATTTTGAATCATTATTCGCTTCATTTTCAGATTCTGATGACACATCAGATTCTGATTCAACTTCAATTGGTTTTGGTGGCGCTTTAGAACTTCCAACTAAATAATTTCCTTCCCATTTTAATTTGCCACTTTTACAACAATCTAAAAGCCAATCTTTTGTAATAACGGGAAGTCCCCACTTAACAGCGGCTTCATATTTTTTCCCCTCAGCAATTGGGTTAATTAAATGCGTTGAAGGTAATATTTCGTTCCTATTAACTCTGCATAATTGTTCTTGATAAACAGCACCAAGTCTATCGACTAAATCCGCTAAGAAACTTCTTTCCGTGCCGGAATAAGATGAAATTGTAACTACTTTTCCGCGCAAGGGTCCGTTTTCGGAATTATCTTCGGTTATATTTTTTAAAATAACCGGTTTATGATAATACTCGATTGAAACAATTTCCAAATTTTGATTACAATCGGTTATAAAAAATTCCGTAACAATTTTAACATCCGTTGAGGCAACATCACAAATTTTTTTATAATTTTTTTTCAAATTTTTATGGATAAAAGCGGGAACAACGATAAAATCGACGTTGTCTAAATTTAAACGAGCCAATTCATCATCATTATTAATCGATATCGTTTCACCTCCTTTTTCTTCAATAAAATTTCGAATCATACCCATTTGATCCTCATCGAACAACGCAACTACAACTTTGATTCGATTAAAAAACGATGGTTGTCCGGTTAAATCATCTTCAGTTTCCGAAATTGAAACATTTGATGGATTTCCTGCGATTAAAACTTTCCTCGATGATTCAGTTTTATCCGATTCTTTTAAAGTGGATGATTTATCATCGATTTGTTTTGAATTAAAATCATTGTTTTGAAGGAATTGAGCTATTGTATCTTCCTGATCTAAAAAATTAAATTCGTGAATAACAAAAATAATCAAATAATTCAATTTAACTTGTTAAAGCTGGGTTTAAATACTGCTGAAGAATTTCGCTGTTTATATCATTAAAATCATCGGTTGGGTTAGTAATCGTTTCCTCTTTTTTATCATCGGAATTTGAAATTTCTTTTGATAATCCACATCTTAATAACTTTAAACCCTACAATATTAATTAATTTAATTAAATAAAAAAAAATGTCTTAACCCTTGTATGACCAAAACTGTTATATCATAATATATCATATATCATAATAACCGATATATCATTAGCGGAAGAACTTCTCTCAATCAATTTAACATTAATTGGGACTGTTCGTAAAAATAGAAAGGATTTGCCAAAAATATTAATTGAAATAAAAAATCGAGCTCTTTATTCATCCTGTTTCTTATTTATAAAGGAGATAACTCTAATTCGTATGTAACCAAACCAAAGAAATGTGTGATATTTTTATTATCTATTTCCCATGCACATGAAATAAGTAACTGCGAAATAAACTACAAACCAAACATTGTCTTGGAATATAACGATACAAAGAGTGGAGTTGATGTCTTGGACAAACTCATTCGAGAATATAGTTGTAGAACTACTAGAAGAACTGCTTCACATTGTTTATGAATTATTTGGACATTGCGACATACAATGCGTTTGTAATTTGGAATAAAAAGTCCTGGTTGGGCTGGAAATGTTTCTACCAAAAGACGAAGGAAGATGTTCTTACAAGAACTAGGTATGTCACTTATCCAACTCAAAATAAATCGAAGAGCATCAAAATCATCATATTGAAAAAAGATGGAAAGGGAATACCAAATACACTCAGCGGCATAAAAAACACATCAACTAAATTGATGACCAGTTTCAAACTGCAATAACTTTTTTGAACGTATTGCTCGATTAGAATAAGGTTTTTTTATTTGAAAGTTTCTACCCTTTGCCAATATTTCTGTATGTGCCTTCCTCATTTTGGCGGTCTTCAATTTCAGCAATGGTGAATAACGCTAATGCTTGTTTTCTTCCTACACTTTGAAGCTTGCTGTGGGGTGTACCGACAAAAGAAATTAATTTTAAACGTAAGGAGCTTGTAATCTCGTCTATTCTGATCACTTCTGGTTTTTGTTCAAGTTTCTATTGTTGTTAACACTAAAGTTACAAGCTCTAAAATATAGCGCAGCTTGCTCGAACGCCATCAGAAATTAAAGCAAGCCATGGATTTTGATGAAAACATTTCAGTGACGTTTAGTGTTTTTAACGTCGTTGACTGTTGCTAGACAAGAAAAATGCCAAACAAAATGCCAAATTGTATGTCAAACTTGACAAATAGGTAATAAAGTTATTTGATTTTTTTAGTTATTGTTTACTGTTTGTTTTGAAAATGTCCGGAAAATTTTCAATTAGCGAACAAGTGGACATGTTGTTAGTGCTAGATTTCTGTGAAGGAAACTGCAGAAGGAGTGTTGAAGAATATCAGAGAAGATATCCTAATCGCGTGAAGAATATCGCAAAGTTCTGTACACCGACTTCTCTGATGTAACCTACTCCACCCGTATTATGTTCGAAAGGTATAGGGGTTGTTGCCGGAAGATTTACGTAAGCGAGTAACTTTCTGTCGATTTATTTAACATCAAAATATTCATTTTCAGAAGAAAATTCTCTTTACCGACAGTAATCTCTGCCAGATTGGTTTGACGAGGTGCTATTGCAACTCAGACGGGAACACTGGTTCATGCATGATGGAGCACTACCTCATTTTAGTATTATTGCGAGGGATTTTTTGATTCGCCAGTATCCAAATAAATGGATAAGACGTGGAAATAATTGCCCACTAGTTTGGCCCCCGAGGTCACCAGAGAAGAACCTGTATATTCTTCATCGGTTACGTCATAAGTAGAATTGTGGCATCGCATTACGGAGAAATGTAATACCATAAGGAATAATCATCAATTATTAGAAAGAGTGGATTTCAATTTTGCACGAAGAATAAGTTTATGCTTGAGAGAAAATGGTGGACATTTTCAAAAATTTTTATAAATTATAAGTGTTTTGCCAAATTTTTGTTTCTATTATTGTTTAAGTTGTTTTTTATTAAATCATATTTGTTTATTATTTATGTTGTTTTACTTGTGTTTTTAAGTAAAATTGATAAAGATTTTTAGTTGTTTGAGAGTTTATGTAAATGACAAGAAGAATGTTCAGAATTTTCGATGATTTAAAGTAACATTAACGAAATAAATGGCTATAATTTATGTGTCAAGTGGTATATCATTAGAATCGTTGAGAAAAGGCCTTTTTTATAAAGCATGGCCAACTATGGTTTCCATTAGAAAAATTACAAATTTGTGTCATACCTCAAAAATTATTGCTTAAATAAAAAAAACAGTTAGACTGCTTTATTAAACATGTAATACCCTACAAATTTTTCCTTTACACATTTTTCCTAAAATCAATAATAGCGGAGCCATAGGTATCTAACGATATAACAAAAAAACAGTTTTTTCGAGATATTTAGTTAGCCATGCATTTTATCCAAAAAACAAAAAGCTCATTAAATTGAGTTCATGAAACTGCAATTCTTTCCCTATTTAATTGTCTCTCTATCTCCGCTAGTTTTCAAGATCTTTATACTAAACATGGAAAAAAACTCACCCTGTATAATAATAAATTTGTTGTGAAAAATCACATGCGTAGAACTAGTTCGGTAGGAAGATTAATGGAGAGTTTGAGTCAACTACATAGAGATGGCAGGGTGGCTGATAGTAGAGTAGCACTGATTATAAAGAGATATGAAACCTTGTTACCAAGAATGGTAGATATGCGACGTACTAATATGTTGGATATGTTCAGAGTAAATTTTGATGTGTATGTTCATGCCCCCAAAGTGAGAACTGATCTATTGTGCGCTAAACTAAGACAAACGTTGCCTGGGTTAGCTTTAATTATAATGCTTAAATTAATTTTATGCTTAATGATTGGGAGTTCAGGCGTCGTGGTCAGGTGCAAAGTTTATTCTCAGGGATGTTTCGGTGATCCCCGATCAGGCGTGTTCATTTCGGAGTATATGCGCTCGGTTTAGAGTTGTCTCATTCGAGAAAACTATCGGATCATGCTAATATATTTGTAATTGAATTGTTTGCTGTATGGTGGGCAATGGACTATGTAAAAACAAATAGGGTGTCACCTGTGGTGATATTCTCTGATTCGTTGAGCGTGATTCGTGCATTGGAGGTGACCATGGGAAGAAAGACGAAGGTACATTATCTGATGAATAGGGTCAAAGAACTTAGCTGACAGTGTACAGTAGAAAATTTAAAGATTGAGTTGGCTCGTTAGCAGATCGGGAATGAGATGGCGGATGGTCTGGCGGCGGAGGTGAATGGTCCATTGTATCAATAAGAAGTAGAATGTTTATTAAGTTGAGAAGGGAGGGTATTTTTCTTGCATATAAGAGTTTTAGAGTTTTGAGAATGCTTCTTTATTTTTTCTGTAGAGGACTGGAGGCTAGCTAATCTTGTGGTGACTGAAACCAGAGTTGGCTGGGCCATACAGTCCTTCTCATCATTTAAATCTGCCGGTCCTGATGGTATTCTACCTGCGCTACTACAGTGGTGTATGGCGGAATTACTATCACACCTACTAAGACTATACAAAGATTGCTTAGCATTTCGCTATGTTCCCGTATCTTGGAGAGAAGTAAAGGTAGTCTTCATCCCTAAACCTGGGAGGAGAGATTACACGGACTCAAAATCATATAGACCAATCAGTCTTTCCTCATTCGTCGGGAAGGCGCTTGAAAGGCTATGTGAAAGATATATTAGAGAAACGACACTGGAAGGTTTCCCCTGCACCCAAGCCAGCATGCATACACTCTGGGAAGATCAACAGAAACTGCCCTACAAGATATCGTAAGAGTTATCGACAGATCTTTGGACTATAAAGAGTCCACTCTCGGAGTATTTATAGATATCGAAGGAGCCTTTGACAGGACAGCTTTCCATACAATTAATAAAGCCCGAATAAAATCCGAATAATACAGAGATGGTCCTTTTCACAAGCAAAAGAATGCTGGGTACCCTTAGAGCGCCCTGGCTTTGCAAAGTTCCCTTGCGTTTTGCCAATGAAGTGAAATATCTGGGCATTAACCCTGGATAAAACGCTGACTTGGAGACCGCACATCGAAGGTAAGGTAAATAAGGCACGCATCGTGTTTGCTCAGTGCAGAAGGGCCGTTGGGACCTCCTGGGGTTTAACGCCCAAAATATCCCTGTGGATATACACTGCAGTGATACGTCCAATGATGACTTACGGCGCCGTAAACTGGTGGCCAAGAGTTAGAAATAAAACGATTGTTTTGCAACGTCTGGCTTGTCTTTACGTTACAGGCTCGATGATAACCACACCAACAGCAGCAATGGAGAATGTACCGTGCCTTCCTCCTCTCAATTATCCCGTTGAGGAGATGGTGATAGCAACAATGATCCGGCTGCAAGCGGCTAATGACAAATGACTATATAAATGTGGAAAATCGACTAGCCAGCTATGGGAGGAAGCATGTAACAAACAGCCACTCCTGAATGGCAGGATAGATACGATTCCAACGCGTTTTATCTTTGAACGACCGTATGAAATAAAGGTAGGAGAACAATTCAGGCCTGACGAAACTGTCCTCCAAGTATAGGTGGACGGATCTCGTAGGGAAACTGGCTCTGATGCTTCGGTTTATTCCGTCGAACCAACAATAAAAATTTCTAAACCGCTGGGAATTTGGCCCACCGCGCTCCAAGCGGAGCTGGTGGTCATTTCTCTGGCCAAAAAAAATTAGTAATAAAAAAATTATAATATATTCTGATTGCAGATAAGCCCCCCTCTTGCTCGGACGGTATCGCTGTTCATCCTCGTTGCTTGAGGACTGCCATAACAATCTTTGTGAGGCAGCCGCTAGCAATGAGATTACGATCTACTGGATAAAGGGTTATTCGGGAAATAAGCTACATGGTGGACAAACTGGCTAGGAAAGCTGCAGGCGATCGCCAGAACCATTCATTGCCCCCACAATAAGGTCTTTAATAGAGCTTCAAAAAGTGGAAACAAGTAAGAAGTTTCTAAACTACTGGCACAGGACACCAGGATGTCGCTAAGCCAAGGAGGCTCTGATGTACCCTGATCCTAAACGAACAGATTTATTCATGAGGCTGTCCAGGAAGAACCTACGTTTGGTCATAGGGCTAATCACTGGACACTGGTATCTACAGAAGCACTTACTGAACATGGGAATAAGTGACACCGACATCTGCAGAGGATGCGGTGAGGAGGAAGAATCAGGAGATATCCAGATTAGCATGAGTGGAATCAGGGCAGCACAACCAGGACAAATTCTAGCTTTTGCCTCCAAGATAATATGGCTGGAAGGACCCTAATACTGACCAAATGAGGGAAGTAAGTACAAGGGATCTGCTGAGGTCAAAGTGGTGCGGGCGGTTCACCCTGCCTTCCCGCGAATCCAGAATCCACCCTGTATCTAATACAATATCTAAATTTAATGCATTAAAAAAACCTAAGATGGTTCACCACGCATGGGTCTAAACTGACCCGTTATGGTCGTCCATGTTCGTTCAATTATTTTGGTCGTACAAGGATTAAATATCAACCATACTTTTTGTGAAATTGGTGAATCAGTAACATTAGGAGATGCACGCGTTTGTAAATTAACGACATATTCATCCTCATGGACCACGGATTGCGTTCGAATACATTCACACAACCACTCCAAACTAACAACAGGGGCGGAATGTTCTTTATACAAAGCGCGGGCGTCGTTTAATGTGGGATCACCAACAATTATATGAGTTATTCGATCCGATAATTGGTCGTATCTTGTCGCACCTCCCAAATTTAAAATTCTCGAAACTTTTTCGCGTTGATCCGGTGAAAACCCCGCTATGAAAACCTAAAAAAGATATGAATTAATTTTAATTACAATAAATATGAAATGATTTACACAACACCCATCTAAAAATCTTCCAGCTTGTTTAACTGATTTGATATCAATTCCATCGATGATATCATTAACATCATTTAATGTAGAACTTCTTCTTTTTCTTGTTTGAGAAAGTGATGAATTTGAATTTGACATAGATAAGTTTACGGTTTCTTGTAAAACACTAGAGTAAGGTGTTATGGAATTAATTGCACTCATCACTGAGAAATTAGGATTTATGTTTTCACGATTTTTAGTTGGAGTGGAAGTCTGTTTTTTAATTGTATATTCTTCCACTTTAAGTGCATAACCGTTTCTTACACTATCTAATAACCAATCGTGAGAAACGCATTTTATTTTATTAGTTTTTCTAGCTACTTTGTATTTATCCGAAGTTGTTGGACCATTACAAATAAGTATATCTGTAGTATCACAATGTAATTGTCCGGAATAAGTACCTCCATTCTCAGTAATTATCGTTTTTAATTTCTCGCGTTCCTCGATATTTGTAAAACCGGTAGTAGTTATTTTTAAATTATTAAAAGGTGGGCAAAAATATGTTTTAAATCGTTGATCGTTGCAATGAACGTTTTCTGTTTGAGAGAATTCCCAAACTACATCCACCCAATCAGGTAACATTATTTTTAAACCAAGCTCTGCCGCTTTAACATATTTTTCAGTTTTAACATTATCGGTTATTAAATGTGTGTTAGGTTCAAATAATCCCTCAGTAAATTGACCACCCATCAATTGGATTTTTTCTTTAAGACAATCTCGTTTCGATTTAGTAATATGCGAGGTGCAAACAACGCAATCCGACATTGCCATATTAAACACCGGCCAAGAAAAATTCGGTACTGGACGCCCATCGATTAAACAAATTAACAAACAATATGCACCAACAATTCTACTATAAAATATTCATTGGTTAATAAAAAATTAATAAATTTAGTTTGAGTTAAACGTACGTTGCTTTTGAGTCTTTAATTCTTTCATAACAACTCCCTTCAAATTTATCAAATACAATAAATTCCGTCTTTTGTAGTTCGGCTTCTGTTAAACTGTTATCATCTCTAATCCATTCAACATTCACAGAATTTCCTTTACATGCCTAAAAGAATAAACAGCGCTAACCTCAAAATTTGACTAAAAAATAAACGGATTACTTGAAACGCAGATTGCATTATTTCCGAACATTGGGTTTCATTATCGTATTCTTCGGGGATAATAAAAATAATCCGTAAATTTGAAAACATTTTAATATTTGATTTATAACATAAAATGAAACAGTTCTTCTTTTGAAGAACGTTTTAAAACTTATAATGTCGCGAAAGCGCTTGCGCGAATTGTGAATTTTAAAGTGTTTGAGGTGATTCGCGCGTATTTTGTGTTGCTTTAAAATGCAATTATTGTATATGGTTTACTTTAATTATAAATTATCATTGTTGCAATTATAGTATGTATATTATTATACGAGCATATGAGGACTATTATTCACTAAGGTTAAGTTTAAGTTTGTATTACCAGCATAGAAAATAGCTTCGTAGAAATGCAACTGTCGAAAAAAAAATCTCGTTATCCATATGAACGGTGTTGTTATGAACGTATCCTCCTGTAAAAGCCTATGTTTTTATTTATGTATTTCACTTAAGAAGCATTATACAAAAATATTAAAAAAAAGATAAAATAAATTTAAAAAAATATTAAAATATAAAGGGAAATATTAACGGTTATAATTTTATTATTGTTAGGTTATCCAACTTGACTCGGTTACTATGGTGATTAAGATCCAAATATTGCAGGTGCTTGTCAAAATTAAAATTGAATTTAAATTTTCTTAAGGAAAAAGTTTTATTTAATTGGTTTAAAAGGCTGTATTTAACTCAAAATTGGTTATCTAGGGTATTATAAACAAGGTAAGTGAATTAAATCAAAAAAATATATTTTTATTTCTCTTAATTAAAATCGATTTAAATTGACTACAATTAACGAATTTGTTATAAATGCGAGATGATTGTAAAGAATTCGAATTGTTTTAAAATTAATAAAAATTAGGTTAGAATTGATAAAAAAATCGGAATAAAATTTTATTATTTTAAGGTTATCCAACTTGACTCGGTTACTATGGCGATTAAGATCTAAATATTGCAGGTGCTTGTCAAAATTGACGTTGAATTTAAGTTTTTTTTAATGAAAAACACATAATTAATTGGATTTAAAGGTTGTATTTAATTCAAAATGGGTAAATGGATGAAATTATAAGCAAGGTAAGTGGATTAATCAAAAAAAAATTTTTGTAGATCAATTTAAATGTACAAGAATTTAGGGTTAAATAACAATTAAAACTAGAACTAACACAAGACCTAGAACTAGAAACAGTCGGATTTAGTCGTGAAAAAAACAGTTGTCAATGTCAACTTTAATTTTATTATTATATTCGTAATCTTCATAAAATAACCTTTAAAGTGAGTCCAAACTTGACGGATTTACCTCAAAAAACCAAATAGTTCGAACTTTCAACTTTTAATTTTGACATATTTGTCAACTTCATAAAAAATCCTTTAAGGGCCGGTTTATCAATATCTAGTTAAGACGATTTATCTGTCAATTAAAATTGTAGCTGATAGATAACGTCGACGAATCGTTTATCCACCCGTAGTTTATGGTAATCTTATAAATAAATATGACATTTGGATACCCACTAGATGGGTTAAGTTTATATTACGAGCATAGAAAATAGCTACTTCGTGTAAATAGCTTCGTAGAAATGCAACTGTCTCAAAAAAAAAATCTCGTACTACCAATTGAACGCATGTGGCGTCATCTGTTGGGGATATTTTGAAATTATTCAGCTAAGAACCGAACCATTAGAATACTGGTTGGATTGGGTTTATATCTAAAAGCTCCAACCACAGAATAACTATGTGGCTTCAATTAACGTTCCGACTGGTTGGGAATTACTCAGATGGAATTACACCTGTCAAATAACTCCGCCACATTTGAATTTCACTGTATCATTATGACATGTGACATTGGGCGCGTTTACCAACTGTCATCGTTTGCAAACGGAGACCAAACTGTTGGCAACATTTTTAGTGAACGCAACCCTAACTTCAAACTGCTTCAAACGTGTTTGGTAAACAGCCGTCATTTTATCAATCGTAAGATTTTTCCGTTAGCAAACGCAAACGATGTTTCAGCGTGTAGTCATTCGTGATAGAGTTCTCTTTGAGGGGAACTTAAAGCAAGATTTCAAAAAAGAATATGCTTTAGGACTTAAAAAATAAATTTTCAAACAAAAATATTTGAAATGTACTGAATATCTAACACCCTTGCTTTTGGTGTTTAACTTATACTGCTGGTAAATAAATGCCGCAATTGCAGGTGGAAAGCGTTCATACAGTAACCTTTCCCAATCGTGATTAGAGAGGTCAGCGATAGAAGTTGACTTTTTTTCCCGTTCTTTCCGCAATTGTAGCTTCAAACGGTTAACTTGTCGCTGCAAAGTTTTTATCTTGTCCCATAACTTCTTCTTACGGGGACTGTGAGCTGATAAGGTGATTGGCGTCTGGTTTCCTACCGAATGAGAAGCTTAAAAATAAATAAATAACATATTGGTTACAGAAAATAAGCTGACCTGTTTCTATTTTGTGCAAATCTATTATAATTTTTATAATGTTTGCACAAAAAACAGAAATATGCAAAGAAACTTACGAGGTACTTCATCATCTTTATAAGTTTGTTGCATAACAACTTCCTCAGATGGTAAGTTCTCATCATTAGAGGTGGACTGTAAGGGATGTCCTACAAAGTAAATACAAAATATTAAGTACAAATGCTTAATTTCTGGCGTTGATGTTAAGCATAGTATAATTGTTATACATGAATAGATGCATTAAACTTACGAGTAATTTGATCCTCCTTGTTCAACATTAACGTTGGTACTGCATCGTCACATAGTCTTTTCCTACTTTCTCCACGATAAGCAGAGTCCGGAAAATGACGACTGCACACTTTATACGAACTATTACTCATGAGGAATCCAAATTGTAACTTATTCATGACTAAAGGTAACAAGCCACATACTTCACCCCATTGCTTTGCCCTACAGAAATACAGAAACAAAGAAGCAAAGAACATAATACAGGTGATTCAAAAGTAGATGGCTAAAATGAAACCCCATGTAGAACAATCAAAAAGTAGCTAATATGCTGTATGCTGTTCTATAGGGGATTTAATTCCTGCCTTATATTTTTGCTTGCATTGAGACAAACAAAAACATACATACCTTTCCTTATCCTTCAGAAACCGAAATAAATGTGTGTCCTTTGTCAACGGACACGTATGACAACAATTTCTCACACAACACTCACTCATTTTAACTTCACTAACGTTTATTACAATAGCAAAAACCATACAATAAACCGGCTGACGAACAACGATCGACAACGTTTAAAAGTGACATAAACTAGCGCCGCCAGGGGAGATAAAGCGAACTCAGCCTATACCTAGCGCGTGCGAATCAGATTTGAGTTCGCAATTTTTTGTCTTTGTCCTTACTTGTTATACCTATACGCTGGGTGTTTGGTGTCATCTTAAATTTAAAATCAACAAAAAAGAATGGCGGAAGCCCGAAATTATTTATTTAATGGGTTAGTGTATACTATCTTTGAAAATGAAGAAATTCATGATAAATTGAGCGGTATGTACGCTCAATTGTAATTGTAATTAATTAAAATTGTAAATAAATATCATTAAAGCGCCATCTGCGGTTATCAAATCATATGTCTATCGAAAAATTGGCCGTTCACCAAATTAGCAACGCAATCGTAACCCGTTTGCGTTTGCCAACGTAAACAGAATTCTCTGGTGAACGCGCCCGTTAGCTGAAATAAAGCTATAATTTCATTTGTAATCTAATTATTTAATCATACCATTCTTTATGATACTCTTACCGACAAATAACTTAAAGTGATGTTTTCATTTGTCATTCTAAAGATACCTGGGGCTGATCACGAGTGTAGCGAGTGCCATAATTAACCTGAGTGAATAATAGCGCATTATATATGAGTAGAATACTATACTTTGTCCACGACTGCTATTGAAATTGATTCCATAAATTTATTTTTTTAAATAAATTTTGGAATAAGGTTTAAACGTCAATGTGACATAAATTCAATGTTACCAACTGTAACCAACTTCACAACAATTTGTCAAAATTGAATGTCAGTTTTATGAAACGTCATGTTTTTGTACGAAAATTAATTTATGCTTAATCATACGAAAAAATGAATTTGTTTACGTTTTTTTTAATGTCAAACATTTAAAAAGTTTTTTGAAATTTTGACGTTTCAAATAATATAGCTTTGTTCGTTGGGACTGCACTAGAGTAAATAGATAATAATATAGTAGTTTAGTAGATAATAAAGTAGTTTAGTGCAACTGCACTATCCCCAACGAACACACAACATCTGCTTAGTGCAAGTAGTGCAGTCCCAACGAACAAAGCTATTATTAGTCTGCCAAGTTTATTGCCCGTGAATAATGATTATTCACCGCTATTATTCACTCCGTGAAAAATGACTACCATCGCTACCATTTTGTTTTAGAAAACTCATTTATAAGGTATACAGACAGGGCTTCTCAAAACTCCCGGGGCGCAGCTATGTTTTGAACAAATGAAGAAAAAAATTTGAACATTTGGGGATCACCAGATAGTTTAGAACTTCCATGCAATGAGGAGTTTTTTTCGGGGATGACCACCCCTACATTTTTAAATCGCAACCCCTGTCGAGTTTTACCTTATTTTAACGGTAATGAAAAAGAAACACAACGTTAAGTTGTGTAAGTTAGTAATAAAGTTGTGTTTTAAAAACTGTGTCTGTTCAATTTAAATTAAAGAACTGTTAATAATATTACTATTAATTTTATCTACAACTATTGAATTATCTATTCGTTATACAATTGATTTTTGACGGGTAATGACACTCATTACCCATGACAGACAAAGTGTTGAATAATGAGGCCATTATTCCACACTTCTGACACTGCCTACTAATCAAAAAATAAAATATTAACAGAAATGACAGCTTTCTTATATTGAGGTTATGTCTGAAATGTCTATCAAGTTTATTTTTTTTTCGTTTTTTTGATTTTTTTTTTCAAAATTAAATAGTTGTAGATAAAGTATAGTATTCAACTTGCGTATAATGGATGTTACCCACTCAGATTACAACACTCGCTCGCTTCGCTCGCTCGTGTTGCAACTTCTTCTTCGTGGGTAACAGCCGCCATTATACGCTTGTTGAATAATATACTATTACTAAACGGTCAAATAAAGTTTTGATCAAGGAGTATTTCAAATAGTTAATTGGATGATTTTCACATTTATGAAATGTTATACCACCATTCCACAAGATATTAAGCTTTAAAATAAAGTAAATTAAAAATTATCAGAAATAAGTAAAATAGTTTATTAAAATTAAACTTTTTTACACAAAAAGGATTATTTATTAGTAAGGAGTTAATTATATCAATAGTAATAGTAAAAAGTAGTAATAGAAATATGAAAAAAGCCTTTAAACATAATATTTTTTATATAAACACTTAAATAGTAATCATTTAACTTTGGTAGGTTCCCAAGAAATGGTCGCAATTTGGACAATAATGATTAGTGTTGACGCATGTAGTCATACAATGAGGAATGCAACAGCATCTAAAACAAAAGACAAATCGTAATAAAATCAAAACACCACTCAAGTTAATAATATTTTAAATCCTTATTTCTAACTTACAAACAAGGCGATAAAAGACATGCCCAAAGATGAGTTCTAGTGGTAGCTTTCGATCTGATCCTTGTGTGTATAACATGATTGCAAAGTGGGCAGGTGGCATTTTGCGATTTTGGTCCGTATTGTACCATCGGAATATGTGCAGCAAATACAGTAGCTTGCACTAAAAAATGTACAACAAAAAGATGTAATTATAAAATTAATTAAAATATCTTATAAAATTTACTTTGGTTAACTGGTGGAGCTGATGGTAACGCCGGCATTTGTTCGGTTTCTAAAGTAGCATAAAGTGAAGGTGATGGTTTTTCCATTGTTTTATTCAATCTCGATTACAAATCAAAATTATCTGTAAATAGTTGGATTCTAACAGTTACCATAAGTACAAATATTTTCCATATAAATAGTGTGATATAAGATTGATTATCAGAATACGTTATACTATTAATATTATCTAATTTTTTTGTCTAGTTCTAGCGTCTTTAGATGCATAGCTAAACCAGAAACTTTCCAGTTCTAGTGTTAGTTCTAGTTTTAATTGTTATTCAGCGTTAGATTGTTGTATGTATATTTTTATGAAACTAAAAGTAGAACTAACACTAGATCTAGAACTAGACACATTCGGGTTTAGCCATCTTAAGATACGTATGAATAACCCCAATGTTTCTATTTCACGGTCTAGTGTTAGTTCTAATGCTAGTATAAGTACTAGTTTTAGTTATTATTCAGCGTTAGATTGTTGCATATTTTTATTGAGCTAAAACTAGAAACTAACACTAATATTGTTACACTAGACCTAGAAACGTTCTAGTTTTAATTCCCGGGATGTAGCACTTCTCTTAAACTTTACCGTTCTTGGTATAAAAATAAAGCTACGTAGATCGAACGGTGTGGATATCTGTTCGAATTTGTGTGCATTAAAATAATTCGTATAACGGATTTTTGGCTATAACGGGCATTCCTTGCCTGTATTCATCTGTTATATCGAGATTTTACTATACATATTTATATATCTTTTTAAAAGATATCACATGATATCCAACCCTACCAAAAAAATTTTATTGACAATAATATTTTCTTTAAATATCGCAAAACTTAATTAAGTTACATTTTAACTAGCTACGCATTTTTGTTATCAAAGGAAATCTATAAATACTTTATGGTTTTTAACTCTATGATTTCATTTGTGTATACATGTATAAAATCACACAACATTGTTTCAATATACATTACTACATCATTTCGTAAAGAAAGATAATTTTGTAGCTTGTAAAAGGTCATTCAAGGGCGTTCTTTATGCATTAGGACCGCGCCGTATCTTGAATGGACGATATTATGAACACATGTGGTTGAAAAAGGAATGTGGTGTAGATAATTTAAAAATAGGTCGAAATGAAGGAAGTGTAAACTTTTACCATATCAAATTAAGGATAATTAACACTTAAAAAATAAAGCAGTGCTAAAAACAATAATATTTTTTAAGATTAGTATAATTTTTACTCACTGGAAGGAAGAACGTGCACACTACAGAACTGTACGAGTGGAAGTTTATATCTGTTGTGGTATAATCTCAACCGCCAGACTACATACTCTGCAAAAATTAACGGCGTTGTGTTACTACGCCGGTTTGGATTTATAAAACAAGAAATATAGACGTATATTTATTACGTATTATTGTAAGAAAAAACCGCTGATAAGGTGTATTACCATTACGGAGATTAAAATTTGAAATAAAGGGGTTCCCCGAGAAATTGAAAGATTATTATTGTTTTGTATTAGTTATTTATACAGGGTCATCCACGACGACTGTCCATTAGAACTTTACAGGGTTCTGGCCAAAATACAAATTTGAAAATTCAGATTTAAGGTCGCCGTTCAATCACGTGATGTTCGCAAAAGTGCAAAAAAAATTTGTATAGTTCCGCTGTTGGTTAAAAGAGGTCGGTTCCTGAGTTCAATTCAGTTAAATTCAGTTATTCATAGCGACGCTTTTTTATATCAGCTTACAATTAGTCATCCTACCGTTGAATGATTTTATTCGTTGGAGAATATATTCCGGTGTAGTCTTACGCGATTCCTATTCTCGATATTATTTGGTGTTTTTTTCGTGTTTTTTTGGTGTTCGAATGCCTTTTGGTTTGCGAAATCTTGAGGTTTGAAGGCCCTTTTAAAGTTATTAAACGCTTTCAAAAAACTTTATTATTTTAACTAGTCTACAAAAAAAAACATAAAATGTACATTTGACGCCACTGTATTTTTCTTATGTAGTTTGGTTCCCTAAACCCAAAAATCACATTTAAAATTTTTTCTATGGATACGTTTTGGAGATATGATTTTTTTTAGGGGTAATTTGATTATTTGCAGCAAATCTCGAGTTAGAGATGACCGAGTTGGTCGTGCTATTCATCAAACTAAAGAGTATTGTATAGCCAATAAATGGAATTAATACTTATTCCAATCGGTTTGGTAGTTTTAAAACAATGTGAAAAGGGATTTTTTTTAGACGAAATGTGAACCAAAAATTCATTCGATATCCTTGAAGACTCCGTAAAGTTTGCTCTTTTAATAAGACAACAAGGTACGCAGGATGATGGACTATGGAGAAATTACTAAAAATTATGATCTTCTATATGTAAGAGCACAGCTTTTTCCTGTACAGGGTGTCCCAATTCAAAAATTTCACCC